GTCAGCCGCGCGTGTGCTCAACGTCTTGTCCTGGGCCTACGTAAGGACGTAGTGCAGATGGCCCCATGAATGTTCGTCGAACCAAAACAGGATTTTGTCTCTAAGTCAATATTCGGCAGTAAGAAGAACATCTCTTATGACCGACGGGGATGCACAGGGGACTTAGGCAGGCAGAACATAGTAGGATTGCTTTGTAGGTCAAAAAGTGAAAATCGACTAATTTCAACCATTACTACTACTACTACTACTACTACTACTACTACTACTACTACTACTACTACTACTACTACTACTACTACTACTACTACTACTACTACTACTACTACTACTACTACTACTACTACTACTACTACTACTCTACTACTACTACTATTACTACTACTACTACTACTACTACTACTACTACTACTACTACCACCACCACCACCACCACCACCACAGAACGCAGAGTCAGACTCACGGGTTCCTTCTTAACGTGGTCTCTATGGTACCGTCACCTGGATACAATCTGAGTCGCCCTTCCTTTCGTGGAGACCTGGTCCACTGTGGGTAGACGCGTAGACGGGCTGTTTAGCTTTATCAGCCAATGCACCCGCCCCACCTCCGGTCATCTTGAAACCGTATTGCCACCCGGCTCAGGAATGTGCAGGAGGGGAGAATGCGACAGAGGCTGTGCAAGTCTAGTACCACTATAATTTAGTTCACGCGCAAGTCACCGTCCTACGCCCACGCACACGGTGAGCATCGTCGTTCGTGACAGTTCAGCCGTTAGTTTTTGATGCCCCGCAGGTCCCATCGCTGGCAGGATACATTCTCTTTTGTCAGTCACAGTGAGATACCTGCCAACATTTTGGGAAGATTTTCTAGTTTTCTGCTATTTCGGGTTTTATCTGGTCTTCCAAGATCCTAGAGGTTCCGTTGTATCCAGCTGGTCAACGTTTGGCATTCTCCACGCCCTCTTCTCAAGTGCTTCCACATTTGGCCCCTGTTAACATTCCCTTTTCCTCTTTTTGCAACCCTCTTTCGAGCGTGATCGGCGTTCTTTTAATTAACTAGTTTTTGTATTCTGACCTTGAGCTTGGAATTCGATTTTCTCGAACAGTAACAAAGGAATTCTTTGTCTAGAGTATCCATTGTTTTTACTATTACCTTATTCTACCAATAGTACCGTACATACACCGAAATCTGTTTTGACTTATAAGCGTGACTCGATTGGCCAAGAATTCTACAGGTTCATTGGAGTGAACTTTCGGGAAGTCACTTTCCCAGCATCTTATTGGCGTTCAGTGCCCTCTTCTGATAGGGAGCTTCTGGAGTTTGCCAGCTAGGTGTCAGGTAACAATAAAGGTACAACCGTGCACTTCCACTCTACCTCCGTCTCCGAGTTCTTCATTGGTCTACAGTTTGAACATACTGTCCACCAGCATTTCTTCAAATCTATCTCCAACAATATTCAGGTCCTTCTCGAGTGTTCGTATGTGGCGTATCCTCAACGAAGGCTTCTTTAAAGACCAGCGAATGTGCCTGTGACTGGAACAAGAACTGCGATAGACAAGGTTCCCGATTATGAAAGCCGGACCTATTGCGTCAGCCATCGTTGCGCGCCCTAGTTGAGCCTCTCAGTTCCATTTTCCGGAAATCTTAAATTATAGCTTTCTGAGGAAATTTAGTGGTGTGATCGGATCCGCTACGTCATCGGTACCCAGAGGTTGTCTCGACCGCAGCACTGTTCCGCACCGCTATTTTGTAGCTCAGTTCAGCATTCGACCGTACCATAGTGACTCTGGAGGCCGTAAGGAACACACCCAGGTTCTTCTCAGTTGTTAAGCACAGCTGGCCGATCACTTGAAGACCAAAAGAAATAACTACTGGGTAGCTGTTTAGTGACAGTTCGACCATCGTTTTCGATGATGTCCACCGTGTGCCCCACAGTTACAGCAGCAATGGGAGCAGGGACGGTGACTTACGCAGGGGTTTATAGTGCCGGTAGACTTGCGTAGCATCTAGCTACACTCCCTCCTCCTCCCTCGCCCAAGCCCGGTGTCAAGACAGAGTCAAGAAGACCGGAGACGAGAGAGGCCGCAGGTGGATGGCTCGGACGGATCCTCACCTTAGCGTTCCACCACACGCCCTGGTCCACACAACAAATAACCAGGATTTCAACCAACACAACAGAGATTTGGAGGCTGGCACGGCCGAAGCCGCACCTGGGCGTGCCGCCAACGCCTGGCTCGGATCCCACACTGTGATGGGAGTGCCATAAAGGCCACATTAAGAAGGAGCCATTGCAGCCTGACTTTCAGTCCGCCTCCGGTCAAGGAGGAGGTCCAAGTTACCCCGTCAGTTGGCAACCTTCCAAGCCACGGCTTTTAGCGCACCGTGATAGCTTCAAGCGCGTCAGATTGTTTATAGTGAGGAGAAAGTGCGCTGAGTCGTCGACCTCACTCTCCCTTCCCACTCCCACACCCCAGCCGCTGTGCGAGCCGGTCAGCAGACTGGAGTGGGGAATGGGCGTGGTGGCTGTCATGGTCGAATGACCATGACTGCGCGCGCCACGGCACGACCTGGCCCCCCATACACACAACACCAGGATTTCACACAACGGGGGTTGAACGGCGTGTCTCTCACTTGCGTGAGAGTGCCGTGGAAGGTGCTGTTTCAGCCCGT